ACTGACTTGAGTCTAAGTGTTCTTAATCAACTGTGTTACTGCAGTCATCTTTTCAGTAAATGCATCTGTATTTATGGTAATCTGTTGGGTGCATCAACTTCTATTGTCTCATCTCGTGCTTCGTCCCTATGATTTTTCATAATTATGAAATAACAAGTAATATTATAATTATATACAATTTAATTCTTTATCAATATTACCTATGAATTAAAATAATCATCTTAATGACTATTTGAGATCATGATTAAATATAGGTTTTCCGATACCACTTTTGTCACGTCCTGATTTGGTGCTTAAAGTTAACTAAGGAGGATGCTTCGGTTGGTCGGTATTAATATTCAATTATCCATATTTTTAAAACTTTCAATATATATATATATATATAAGGCCACTAATCCTCAAAGTACAATAACATTTAAATATCCAGAAGCATCAAAATAATTTGAAAATCATTTCTCAAATCAGTACTGAACAGTAAATGAAAAAAACAGTAAACAAAAACTACAAACATATCATAAATAATAACTTTTAGTTGCAGTCCTCCTCTTATAAACCAAATCTCTCATACCAGACATATCAATTTAAAAATTTTTTTCTCCTAAAAGAAGACATTAACTTCAATTGTAAGTATAACTTAGTGAGTTGTTATAATTTAATATGCATTAAATTATGATGCTTATGTTATGTATGAATGATCAAAAGAAAATACAGATCATTTCTTTATAAAAATTTGAAATTTCTTTCTAATTTTATCATTTCTCATTTCTCTTTAGGTGTTTGTAATTTTAACATCTTTAATAGTCATCACATGATTATCGTCATACCCGAAGATATTTTCAATGTGTTCGAAGACACTCTCAAAATTATACTCGAAGGTACCCTCAAATTATACCCGAATGTGCTATCAAATTGTACCCAAATGTACACTTTTATTATTTCTTTTAACATGCACGAGTACATTGCATCCCCTGCCAATACTATATGATTTAATTTATTACTTAACATGTCATATCAATTAAAATTTCTTAAAATATAACTTTATATGTAAGTTATTTTCCTTCCATCTCTTATGTTATTTTAGACTTTCAATATGGAAGGTATAACTAGAAAATTTATTTTAAACCATTCAATAAAGTAATTTTTCATTTATTAAAATATTAATTTAATGCATAAAAGAAAATAATCACCCACCTTGTTTAGCTTGCTTGCCACACTAATTCCCTAACCCCCGCCTTTCTAGGCTTAAATGTTATTCAGCTTAAATTGCAGTTAAACATTAATATTTTATTAAATATCAATTTCTAATTAAGTAATTTAAACATTAATAATTTTTTTAAAAAAATAACCTATCTTTTAAAAAAATTCGTCCCTCGATCTTGAAATTGAATCTTGCTTCTCCCAATTTCTTTTTGATCCAAGCGCATTTACAATTAACATTAAATGAATAATCTTAAATACATATAAAATATAACTATTAAATTATAATCTAAAAATGTTGTTTTATGCAAAAATGATCTTAATTTATCATTTTTATACAATATGCCTGAACCACTAAAACTTAAGATCATTAAATAAAGTATGCTCTTAGAATGATCTAATAGAATTAAATGAGAAATAAAAATGAGATAAAAACAACAACAAAACCTTAATCCCACTACATGTGGCCGGTTACATGAATAATTTTTTTCCACTGCGTTCTATTTAGTGCCATATTTTCATTTAGTTCTAGTAAATTAAGATCATTTTTAATACAATAAGCCCAA